ACCAGTTCAGAAGTGCTTTCTGAGCCTGCCCTGTGGGATGGGGGGAGTGTTCGGCTGAGGCAGGGGACTGCTCATAAGACAGAAATCACCGTATCCCGCCACTCTCCCAAGTAAGGATCTGATGGAGGCCCCTTGTGTCAGATGACAGCTCTCAGCTGCTGCGAGTTCACTCCTGGGCTACAGGGAAGTTGTGCCAGTTTCCATCTTTCCTCATAAGATGGCTATTGAACAAATAGTTTTGCAGTGAGGTCACAGAAATACTTCTTTGTGGCACCAAGGGACCAGCTAGATTTTGCTCATGAAACAAGTAATTTCTGTACTGGAAGTGTAGCACTGAACACGTGGCCTCTGTCCCAGGTACCAGGCCTCTTTCGGGCGTGGGGCCACCTTGTCACTCGGACAGCAGGGTACCTAGGAGCCTTGGGAGGGGATGCCCGTCTCAAAAGAAAGGGCCGCGAGGAGCAAGTCTTTAAATGCTCCAGAGAGTGACACCGACTGAGCTCTCACCCCAGTCCTGGGCTTGTGTTTCCTCATCAGTAAAATGGCACAGGTAACAGCACGTGTCTCACATGGTCATGCTGACAAACGAAACAAACTCATAAGTGCGAAGTGCTCAGGCCAATGTGATAAAGTGTTCACAGTTCTTATTCTGTGTACAGATGGTAAACCGAGGCCCTGGGTCACAGATGGTGACAGCAGGCAGCCGAGACATTTGTCTCCAGAGCATGACGTGGTTGCCGGTGCTGTTCCCCTCTGTTCAAAAGGGATCCTAAGCTGGCCCAGTGGCCGGCACTCGGTGCTCTTTAATGTGGGGGAAAGGGTCTGGTCTTGACTTTTGTCATGTTGCCCTCTGAAGGGAACTAATCTTTGTTCCCCTGGCTTCTCGTGCTCTTGGACAGTCACCCCACCTCCCTGGGCACAGACACCTCACCTTCCCAGGGACCTCTCTGGGCCTGTGTCTGTTGTAGACAATCTGGTCGGCCTGCAGCCTTTCTGAGACGTAGTTCTCGATTGGTATGCACATTAAATCCCCAAAGTGCTGAATTCTGAGGTATAATGGTGTTTTTCTAATTATTCATGTGTTAGTGTTACCAAGAAGACACCCATTTTAGCAACAGCATTTGGTCAGATCCTTATGATAGATAACTAGAAGGACGCCCCCGTCACTGTCCCTGGGTCCTCCGGGGTTGACAGGTTGAGTTCTACTCTGGAGATGCATATTTGACTGTTGGTTTTTTGTTGTTAGGACATACTTTTAAGCCACCTCAAATTTCATTCACAATGAAGTCATATAAAAATGAATAATTGAAATATGCACGCCAATACTTTGTTTTAATGTCCCATTGCTAGTAACCTGTTAGAGCAAATCATCTTTTGTCAAATTTATCTATCTATTTTTAAAGCCATGTTTTTTAAACTCTGTATTCCAGCCTGTGAGAGTAAGTATTGACGCGTTCGCTGCATATTAGTTATCTGGGAACAGATGTGGGGTCCACGCACAGGCCAGTCCTATCGCTGGTCTGAGTACGTGAGTGTTAGGACTTGTGTGTGTCTCAGAGGATGGACACAGCCACCTAGGGGCCCAGAAGGGGTCAAGGTTGATAGTCCCAGGAAGCATGTTTGAATAAACGAGGAAGGTAGCAGTACTAAGAACGAAAGCGAAACATTAAATGTATATGCAAATCTGCCACTGTGTAACCTCGGCTGCTTCAAACTATCCACTTAGCTATTCTTTCCAGAACTGCGCTAAGATGTCAGTAACCTCAGTAACCTTTAACTAAGGCCACAGGACAGGAGAAGGGAAGAAACAGTGACAGGTTTCCATGATGTGTAAGACGCCTCGATCAGCCTGGCGTCGGGGGAAGGGCGCAGCGGATGAAGGTGTTGATGAAACCTCGGGTCGGGGGAAGCATGGCGTCTAGGAAGCAGGTTCGTTCTCTGGAAAAATGGACTTGGTGTCCACGCTTAGGGACACCAAGCAGTACTGACCCCTTAGGTGCTGAATCAGTGTGTGCATTCTGGAGGGAAAGAAGAGTCCGGCCCCAAATGATGAACATTCCTGTGTTTGGTCACAAGACAGGAGACCACAGGCCTCATCTCTGGGCAGATGGAACAGCCTAGATAAAGGACCTGCTGGGAGTAGACCTGGTGCCATTGCCACAGGAAGAAAACACTGCTTGCCACTCCTTTGATGGTAATAAAGAAGAAATTGTAGAAGTTGACAGAAGAGAGAAAAACAAACAGGTTTTACATAATGATGATGACTTCAGAATGGCATTTAATATTTTAGCAACAATAGTTGAAAGGCAATGAATGCAAATAAGTTTAAAATATATTTATACAAATAAATTTTCAGAGTTACAGATAATTTTGCTTAGAATTCTGACTTGAAATATGGCAGTTATGCAGCAAGCCTGGGCCAAGCAGCTGGGATGAGAGCAGGAGGGGATTCCAAGAGGAATCTTCAAAGAAAAGGAAATTGAACTGAAACATGTCACCAGATTGTCAGTGTTTGACCACAGGGGAGAAAAGAACTGGATAGAGTTTTTCAGTGCTTTCGGATATTTTTGAAAGGATTACCAATAGGAACATTGAAAACCAAGATAATGGAACAAAAAGATACAAATATTAACTGAAGAACAACAAAAAATATAAAATAGGTCTGCTTCCTAGATGCCACACTTCTCCCGACCCGAGGTCGTATGTATGTGTAACATATGACCAACTCATGATCCTAGTCATGATGTGGTGATGGGCTCGGTGATGTGCGGGAGAAGTCTATATATTGTCAGAAATGGACAATTAAGTGCCATTATGAATCCATGTGTATAAATACCAATGTAAACACAAGGTAACTGTTTTTATCATAATACTTAATAGTACTCTTGTGGGGGCAACTTTGCCCGCAAGTCCCCCCATCCGCCACGGATGAAAGTGAAAGTACCACGGCATGATCTGCTTGGGGAGGAGAGGTAGAATCTCTGAGGAGAAGGACCAAGAACCTCTTCTTCAACAGCTTTTATTAGGTTGTAATACACAGGAATACAGGTAAAGCTTGTCAATCAATGTCAGGTGACAAGGATCAAACAATAGATAACATTTCGAATTAATCTAAGGGCTTAATCTGAGTCAGTGTCTTCAAGTAAGGGGGTTGCAAAACTTTGGGCAGCATACTCATTTCCTGCTTGGACCCTTATCATATGAATGAAAGCACTCTTAGCAAAGCAGGCTTCACAGGACTTTAGGAACTCTTTCTTATGCCCAATCACCCTGGAACATGCTCTAACCCGCAGAGAGCTGCACCGCCCTCCCTGTCATAGGTTTTTAGGCTTAACTGGATTAGAGCCAGGAAGCGCTTCTCCCAGATGGAAATGGGGACTCAGGCTATGTCAGAATAGCTGGAGGGGGAGCGAGGGTCCCTCACTCCCTCTTTGTTGCAGCCCCGAAGTCCTTCCATGATGGCCTCCCAAGTGATCGTGTCTGGCTTAGGTTGCCCCTCCTCTGAGGGGTCTTACCCATCACTGACTAACTGACCGAGTGTTGGGGGCAGGGGATGAAGCAGAAGCAGTGCTGCTGCCAGAGATAAGCTTTGTCTCCTTAGCGGCTCGCAGTCCAGAGGTCCCTCACTCAGCCTATCCACGAGGGGCAGTTACAACTCCTGAAACCAGGCAGAGCGGTTCCCAACAGTACTCTTTGGGTTTTATGTATCTGTTTCATAAAAATAGAGCAGTTTTTAAAAGAATCATTTAAAAGTTCTGTACATTCAATAAATTCCATGCAACTGTTTGACAAAAAAGCAATTTTGAAAAATCATTTTAAACAATCATTTGTAGACAGTAACTGGAAGAAGTTTGGTAGCTTTGAATATTCCAGTTACCAAGAACTGTTCATTAATGATGTCAGTGTGCTTGGTATGGACCTCACATGTGGCTACAGCCGAGGTATCGTTTTCACAGTTCTAATCTAGCTAACCTCCTGTGTGGACCCACAAACATTTCTCTCCGTCAGAAATCGAGGTGCAGAAATCACCACTAGAGGAATATTAAGCCCAGGGACAGGCGACTCTCCTGGAGCTGTCATGGGGAACCAGGGACTACACACTGTCTCATTAAAATTGCCGTCTCCGGTTTACTTCCTGTGGAGTATTACTGGTCCTTTTCTGAAAAAGTAGCAATTAAAGTTAATGGACAGTGCTCAGAATTCCTCCATATCTGCACTGTAATGATGGAATTTCCCCAGAGTGTACTTCCTTTTCTCTAGATCATGCTTTTGCTGCTCTAATTCTCAAGTGGAAGAGACATCGTGGTTGCCAGATTTAGGCCAGTGTATGACCAGTACCCACTGAATCATTTTTAACCGTGTTACGTTTTTGGTAATGTATCAAAGCCATATTGAAATACAGTTTGTTCAACCATTTAGCTTCACATGGAGTAAGAATCCAAAGAGTTAGAAATTTTGAATGAACAAAGATAGAATCTCATGCCCAATCCTAGTTACCTGAGTTATATTGTTAAAATATCCCATAAGATTTATTTCAGAGTTATCTTTAACTTAATGATAAGTGTAATTTTTAATTTTGTCAAGTATTTTTTTCTTTATAACTTTCTCTTTGTTTATTAAATAATAAAGATCATTAATTGATTCTGTGCACTGGGTTCCATTTTCTTTCTCTTTTATTATTATTTTTTTTATCCAAACCCTACTTGTGGCTCAGTTTGCAGCTCTTCCCAGGAAGCACTGGAGGTTTGTGACACTCAGGAGCCTGTTTCTAACAGCCGTCGTGTGAACGCGAGTCTTGCCCTGCCTTGGATGCTTCTCCGTCTCCCAGTCATTGTCCACCATGTCCAGGCCCCCGTGCCCACTCCCATATGAGCTCTAGCTCGGCTGTGGGAATGCAGTGGGTCAGGGCTTTATTCTACCAAATGATGTGCTCCCCAGAGTAAGTTAAGTCCAGTTGCCAAGTAAAACCTCACCTGACTTTGCTATTTCCTTTAACCCAGGGGTGGATCAAGCTTTGCCGCCAGAGCGCCGGGCTCCAGTTACTCCCTCCTCTTCCTCTCGCTATCACCGCCGAAGGTCCTCAGGGTCTCGAGATGAGCGCTATCGGTCAGGTAAGGTGCCAGTGTGGACGTGAGGTCACTCACAGCCTGCCCGCAGTGCTGGTGGCCACACGGCCGATTGGGCGCATGTCTGCAGCAGCTGCAGGTACCTGAGGCAGGAGTGCGTATGTCTGTCCTCGCGACTCGTTGTGTGATCCAGGGTGCTGGCCGCCTCCCTCAAACACAGGTGTTCTCTCCACACACATTAAAACTCAATAAATAGTACCTGTTTTCACATTTTTAAGGTAGTGTTGTTTACTACTTAGGAAAAAAATAGTAACTTCTCATGGCCCAAACTAAATTTTTTTAGGTATCACCGTTCAACAGTTTGGTTATCATTTTAATGATGTTGGTTACTAGTATAACTTTTTTCTTCTCTTTCAACCTCATTAACTTCTTTTATTAAGTACAGTTTTCAAAAAAGAATAAAAATCCTTAAAATTTTGTATATTCTGTGTTATTTTGCGTTTTATGATGCTGTTTATAAGTGTGCTGTCTTGGTAATTCCATTTTATTGTAATCATTACCTGGGCTTGGCTAGCTTGAATTTATCTATTAATTTAGCATCAGAAAACTTGTTTTGTGATTACTATTTTAAGCACTTTTTGAGAGATTCTTCTCCCTTCACCCCAAAATCTAGACTAAAGTTGTTTATACCTAGTTCCCTAACTACAGTTGTTAGAAGAAAACTATCAGTGTGTGTTGTTGCTGGGGCACTAGTTCAGGGCACATGCGGATTGCCGATGGTAATGATCTGAATTATAATATTATAGATATTATATTTGTATATCACTTTATAGTTGGCAAAGCACTTTCACAGACATCATCTCACTTAGTTTTTATAACAAATGGGTAAAGGGCTTATTACTGTTGCATGTTGCAGAAGAGGAAGCTGAGGTCGTGGCAAAAGCATAGCTCAGCCAGTTCATACCAGGGTTGGACCCATACCAGGGTCCATGCTTCATGAACCTGTCCATGAACCTGTCCATGAATGCGGGCTTATAAACCACCACCATGACCTCTAAGGAGCTGTCTGCCTGACTTTCTGGTCCTGTTCTCCTTTCTAGAGGAAATGAAGTGGTAAGACAGAGATTTTATGGCATCAGGAATGATTATCTGCACAAGCAAGAAGAAAAGACTCAAGAAACTAGGACAGGCCAAGTGCAGCCTCTCTGCTCCTCTTCCTGTTTTCTCAGCCCCTCTGAAGAGGTCTTGATGTCCAGGTCAATACGTGGGGATAGAATGAGGGCAGAAGTTTGTTCCCAAATCCACCTTCTGATTTTCAAAGGTGTTTTAACACCCAGCGCATATCAAGAACCCATCTTAGCCATTTAGACACTTCAAAGGCTCCTTTCAGATGGTTAGGAGGGAAGAGGTCTGCAAATGTGTGCTGTCCGCTTGCTATGAAACCTTTCCGTTAATTCCTTCACCTCGGTAACTGCTGCTGGTACTTTATATATGTGCATACACATGTAGACACACACATAGTCCCACGGTAGATGCATGTAGTCACACATATCGAAGACATACACAGACTCCTACATATAGCAGACACATGTCCCACATAGACACACATACATAGTCTCACGCACAGTAGACACACCTGTAGGTAGACCAGACATGAAGACACATGCTTACCATCATCAGTATCTCCAGTTCTCACAGAAGCTAGTCCCATGCTCTTATTTTCATTTTCTAGAGGAGAAAATGGACGTTTAAGAAGGAATGTGATTATTAATGATATTACAGTGAGTAGCTCATCAAAACAGGATGCAAATCTAGCTGTGGCTTCCCTGTCATCTGACCTCTTACCACAAAGATTTTTATCTTGCGTCCATTTCTAACCTTTAACTTTCTCTGTTAATTTTTAAAATTTAGATAGAAATTAAATCCCAGGAAGTCTCTTTCCCAGGTTATTTGTCTTTACTGATGATGCGGGCGGAGATGATAAATCCCAGTGTTTATATGGCCTTTGATAAGGTGCACTGTGTTTTGCAAATCCTCCTGGTTATTTAGGGGCTCGGCAGGACAGATGGTCAGACAGTAGAAGTCTGCGAGAGGTTAACACAGCACAGATGGTGAGTCCTTGGCCTCAGGTACGCGTCGGCTCACCTGTCACATCACCGTCCATCTTTCAGGGTAGAAGAGAGGATGTGGGAGAGCAGCATAGTATGGGAAGGTGTGGACTGAGGACAAGAAGAAAGGGCAACTTCAGGGATTATTTTCACTAGTCAGTAGAAACAGGGCCAACATAGTCCTCTGCAAAGGAAGCTGGGTGCATCTGGGTCCAGCCCACCTCAAGCCCTGCTTTAGAATCACCATTCATTCCTCACCCACATCTCTGTGAGAGGAGGGGCTGTGAAGAAAAAGCTGCAGTTACTGTTGGTCCTTTCCAGTTAGAGCTCCACACCGGGACAGGAGCACTTGCTACTTCCTCCCTCTCCCTGCATCCAGGCTGCACAGTCCTAACAGGCTTCTAACCTTGTGGCTTTGTTTCCTGGGGGCATCTCTCCAGGCTGCCTGTCCCATTTCCTCTGCATATTTCTGGATTCCTCTCACTTGATAACCCTTTCTGCCCAGTTGTTGAGATCACCCCTTCTCTGTGGCTGAATTTTGGGCTCTAGGCCTGAGGTCAAAGACTAGCTCAGCCCCTCACTTCCAGCTCTCAAAGGAGTATGATGAAGTTTTCTTCCTAATCTGCTTGGTGCTAGAGAGCTCCAGAGAAAATAAGACACAGCCTCCCCTCTCCCTAGAAGTTCACAGTCTGAGTAAGAACCAGACCAGTGACTGAAGGGCAAATGGTACTGTGTAGGGTGGTCTCTGAGGAGGCTGTTCACAGCACTGTGAGTTCCTAAACACATGTCAGTTGGCAACCTCCTCGGCTCAAGCATTTCAACAGAGTAAGAATCACATTCCCATACGGACCTGTCATGTGCGTGGTCTGGCTTCCATTCCTCCTTGATCGCGCCTTTCACATTAACTCTCTTCTGCAACTGCACTGGTGTCCTGGGTGGTTTTGAGCACACAGGCACCTGACTGCTGTAAGGCCTTTACATTATCTGTTCTTCTGCCTAGAATGTTCTTTCCTGATACACAGACACACCGTTGGTTTCCTTACCTTTATTAGGTCTCTGCTCAGGTGTGACTGCTTTTTGTGAGATATTCTCTGACCACCCAAATAAAATGGTAAAGCGCCATATAACTTTAGACACAATCCCTATGCTTCTCCACCCTGATTCATTTGTATCCATTACTGTCATAACCCCAACACGTATCCGTCTACGATCTTCCTATCAGCCCATCTCCCTGTCTATCAGACATCTCTATCGATAATCTATCATTCATCCATTACCTGCCTACATCAATCACCTGTCTACTTAGCTATATATTAATTATTTACCTACTTGCCTATCAGTTCTCTTTCTGTGATCTATCATCTGCTAACCATCCACCTACCATAAAAACATAAGATCCAAAACAACAGAATCTTTGTTTTGTTCATTCATGTATGCCAAACACATAAAAATGTTGCCTGCTTAATAGTTCTGAAAGGAAGGAGGATGAGTGGGCATACCACAATTGGGGGGCAGCACGAAATTACATGCAGGCGTGGTGGGGGGGCAGATTTTTAAGGTATCTGTTATACTGTGCTCTAGAAATTAGACTTTATCCTGAAGATGATAGAATACCACTTGAAGATTTTAGGCAAAGATATGACAGGAGCAGTTTTAGCGTTGAAAAATTATTCTGGGTAGCACTGCGGAGTATGGATTAGAAGCGAAGAAATTGCAAAGACCCTCAGTGCCTGATATCCATGCGTGTTTAGGAGCTGACTCGGTGCTGGTAAGACGTGGGATGTGTCTAGAGAACAATAGCAATAGGACCCTGAGGCTGAGTTAATGCAGGGGCGTGTGAGAAAGGGAATTAGGGGTGAGTCCTAGGTGTCAGATGGTACACCTGCGTAGACAATGGCCTCTGGGCCTTTGGAGAACTAAGGTTTCTTTCATTTGTAGGCCAGAGATGGTGGAATTTGTCTCAGCTATTTACTTGCTATGTGAAGGATATGATGAAAATTGTACAGCCATTCCTTGCAGTGTCATGTAAGGCAGGGAAAAATGTTATTTCCTATATACTATTACAATTTTGAAAAATTTGTACTCCTCTAAAAATACAACAAAGATGAAATTGGAACAGGAAAAATGGTGCATACTCCTCTCAAGTTTGAATAATGACTGCTTCATTTACATATAGGACAGGCCTATCCAGAGGGTCTTTCTAGGTGCTTGTGAAATATCAGCTGGACCTCTCATTCTCTATAATCAACACCAAGGCCACCCCACCTTTTATATATCATGGCAGCTGCCATGGCACACTATGGCACACTATGAGGGTTCATGTGGTATTTTCACTTATTCTCTGGTAATCTAGTTATAAGTGTTCTTATTTTAGACATTTTACTATATAAATTACTTTTTCTTAGAATATATACTCTTACATCATTTTCAAAAATTGTGGTATGAAATCTTAGGTGATTTTAGTCTATTGCCGGAGTGTGCAGTGTTCCTGGTTTATTTTCTCCTGAGCCAGGACGGAAGACTTAAGATACTCGGAAGGAAAAGTGTTGTGGCCCTCAGGACAGTTTGCTTTCTGAATTTCTTTGACCACTTAACTCCCAGTAGAGTTCCCATGGTTGCTTCAATGACCAAATTATATCAGCCAAGAGGTAATTCTGTTATCTGTTAGGTAATTGACCTAATTGACAATCAATCTAGTCAATCATACAGCCTCTAATTTAATCTCTCCTGGCAATATTTTTGTATTTCAATTCTACACCCATAGCCTTACATCATAATGAACTCCTACAACAATTCTTTAAAAATATATTCTTTATTATTTTTTAGAGAGTTGGGGATAGAGAAAGAGAGGGAGAGAAACATCAATGTACGAGAGAAACATCAATTTGTTGCCTCTTGCACTCACCCAGCTGAGGGCATGGCCCACAACCTTGGCAT